AATAGTTCGTCAATTAATATTTTTTATAATCTGACTACTTACATGCTGGAAGTAGTCTTCTGATATAAAAAATAAGCCCACCCTGGTTAACAACCTTATTCCCGTGACATTCTTTCTGCGGGAATCAATCTTCCAACTGGCCTATGTGCTCTCTTCGTGATCTCTGTCTATGCGCCCACTGACTGTATCTCAAACAAAGTCAAGGACCAGTTATACCAGAACCTAAGGGATTTTAAAACCGACATCATTGTTTTGGCAGGAGACTTCAACGCGCGTGTCGGTCGATTGCTGCCATGTGAGCGCCATCTCGAGGGACCGCATGGATATGATGATGTTCGCTCAGACAACGGAGAGACTGCTCAGTATGTGTGCTGATCATCAGCTTTTCCTCTCCAGCACAAGTTTTCCTCATCCTTGACTCCTGTACGCCACTTGGCGCCCCCCGTCATCAACCCAGCGCTGGTCACAGATTGACCACATAGCCATAAGTCGCAGGTGGCGCGGCAGAATACGCTACTGCTTATCATTTTGGTCAGCTTGCTTCCATACCGATCATGCACTGGTATGTGCAACCGTTTGCATGCGTTTCAGTGGTTCACCTAGGTCCAAACACGCCCAACTGAATATCTACAAATTGGAGGACCAATGGTGAAAAAGGAGTATCAACAAAGGCTTCATGAAAATCTCGCTCTCTATCCCACTCTGGATGTTGATCAACACTGGTTTAGTCTGCAAAAGCCATGTTGTCGGCCGGTTTATCCAGCTGCGGCCTCACTCACTCCACTCCCAAAAGCTGAATCTCGGGAAGATCCTTGGAATTGCTGGATCGCCGACAGGCGGTGCCTATTAGCGCAGAGCGCAACGAACACAGCCGGCCTATTACACTACAGCTGAAAACAAGCCTTCTCTCTGATCGTGAATCCTGATGCTCAAAACGAACGGATGAGATGGAAGCCGCTGCATCAGCTGGCAACTTCCGCCGTCTATTTTGCATCATCAGGGCCACCGGTTTCAATTCCTACGCTATCAGCCAGACGGTTTGCGAATCAGACGGCACAAAGATCACCAACAGGCGATTGGAACGCTGGATTGGATCACTCTTCAATTCAACCACCAAACACAACCCCCTGTGGCATCTCCAGCACCAACGGATGATGCTTGGCCTGTTTCCACAGGCCCCCTAACTGAAGCAGAGATCCGAGATGCAATCCAATCTTTGAAACGCTACATAGCTCCTGCTTCCACCAGCATACCACCAGCTCTATTAAAAGATGGCGGGAGTATACTTGTCAGCAAAATCCTACCGCTGTTCACGAAAGTTTGGACTGAGGAGAAGGTTCCGAACTCATGGGGAGAATCGGTCATTGTTCCGTTCCACAAGAAAGACTCCCGCGATGATTGCTGTAACTACCGTGGAGTCTCTTTGATCTCTGTCGCATCCAAAGTCTTCGTGTCTGTCCTACTTCACCGGCTTTCAACGGCTAGTGAGGAGTTTTGTTGAGAAGACCAAGGCGGATTTCGTCCAGACCGCGGCTGCATCGACCAAATCTTCACGCTCCGCCAACTTCTCGAACTCCGTCACATCCACCGGCGGCCAACAATCGTAGTGTTCTTGGACATCCGAGCGGCATTTGATTCAGTGGATAGATCTGCGTTGTGGAACTGTTTACTGAAGGAAGGTGTACCCGACAAGTTTGTAACCATCCTGAAAGAACTTTACAACCACACCTCGGGTAAAGTCAGGGCTTACGCTCTGTTTCTCATTTGCTGTCACCAGTGGTGTTCGCCACGGTTGCCCTACTTCACCTTTCCTCTTCAATTTTGCCATCGAAGATGTCGTCCAAGGAGCACTGGAAGGTGTCCAGAACTGCGGTCTTGAGCTTCTCCCTGGAGACAGAATCACGGACTTGGACTAGGCCGATGATATCACCTTGCTGGAGTACGACCCACAAACCGTCCAGAGCGCTTTAGATCGCTTAGCAATGGAAGCGTCTAAGTAAGGCTTCTACTTCACTCCTGGAAAATGTTAGACGCTGCTCTAGGATTGGCAAGTGCCTGAACATGCACTCACCATTGCTGGACAAGTTCTGGAGCAAGTCCTTTACTTTACTTATCTAGGGAGTTGCATCACGGCTGGTGGCGGTGTTGGAGATGAAGTCTCACAACGGATTGCAAACGCCCACCTTGCATTCATCAAACTGAGACACTTATGGCGTCGTCGCGCTGTCAGTCTCAAGCTCAAGGGCAGGGTGTACAATGCTTCCGTCCGTGCAGTGCTCTTGTACGGCTGTGAGACTTGGCCTGTTCGTTCTGGAGACATGAAGCGGTTGCCAGTAGTTGATAATCGCAGTCTATGTAGGATTGCTTGGGTATGGTGGCAACACCACGTAAGCAACGCAGAGGTGCGAGACCGAATGCTTGCAGTGAGTAGTGCCAGTCTTCAGAATGTTATTCTCCTACACCCCATGCTTTGACTCGCCCATGTATTGCGCATGCCGACCGATCGCCTTTCCAGTTGAGCGTTATTTGCGCTCCCCGCAAGCGATCAGAAAATGTGCCGCAGTGGACAACCAACGACGTGGAGAAGAAACATGAGGAGTGCAACCTCAAGCTCAGCCTACATCGGATGGGTCCGCCTTCCAGGATGGGGACCACACGATTCGGACTGCCAGTGGTTTGGAACGTTGGAAGCTTTGGCGGGCAACCGACATTAGTGGAGACAGGGCTGTACAACCGTGTTACCTATTAGTTAGCGTCTCATGGAACATAAAACTCCAAACACAAAATCCTAAAGTGGCGTGTGTAAAACCGAAAAAGTCGTTTTCTTTATGTTATATTTCGTCTCCTCCCTTTATTTCGCCATGGTTCTGATGGCACATCATCTGTAATCAGATTATATATATATATATATATATATATATATATATATATATATATATATATATATATATATTAGCCACTCTTTAGATCGCTTAATAACCGAATACAACCAGCTTTCGTGGTCTTGTCGCCCTAATCGGAGCAATGTACGGCAAACGATGTCTTCCATATGCTCATTTCGCGAGTATTTATGTCGTCATATGCGTTTACTTTATTCGATATCGACATTTTGAATGCTTGGCTGTTGTTTGATATCCCCGGTGTGGCTGCGCTTGATGTGCATGTTGGCAAGGTGCCTACCGATCTATTACCCACTACCTCGTCCATACTGGCTCTGAAAGACAGTTGGTCGTTGCTGGAGGAGACAGGGTGCACGGCCCTTTTGGCCGTGCTAGGCTCGAAGGGTGGTTCCATGCACTCAGTGTGGAGCGGACTACGGTCCAGCCACCGCCTTATGTGCGCTTGATTCCAGAATACAGTGTGCTTGTGTTTGCCTGTGAAGGAGTGTGGGCCGGCTCCGTTGATGAAACGTGGTTCCCATCCGCATGCCTCCCGGTCTTATTCCTTCGGGTTTACACTGGATATGGGGCGTGTGGATGGAGCTGTGGATGGTGAAGCGCAAGCCATCCACGGTCCTTCTGTAGGCGCAGGCGCCCTGTGGGTGGCCACAGTGACAGGCAAATCCGAAACTGGATGCCGCCAACCATATATATATATATATATATATATATATATATATATATATATATATATATATATATATATATATATATACATATATATATATATATATATATATTGAACGTCATCGTTTGCGGTACATTGCTCCGATTAGGGCGACAAGACCACGAAAGATGGTTGTATTCGGTTATTAAGCGATCTAAAGAGTGGCTAATAGGTGACGGGGATGCATTTAGTTTGTTGAGTGCGGCGTTCATATATGCAATTCCACCATTTGTTTCTGTTTGGCCACTGGTCCTATTTGTGCTTTTGTGCGTGGTATTCTTGAAACGACGATGGTTTACACCCTCATACCGGTGAGTATTTACTATGGGATAACATTTGCGTCTTTTCATTACTTCCATCCAACAGATCAACGCTGAAGCTTTGCCGCGTAGCTTTCAGATTTAAGTCATTTTGCCTGTGTTTAAACACCGGAAACCCTGTGCTGCATTAAGCGACCGAGTTGTATCACCCCCATTTGGCTTTCTTTTTCCTTTGTACAGTTCCTTCTCGCTAACCCTTCCCAAATCTATTCCACTGATACTTCCGTTATTTCGCAACCTGGGCCATATGTCTTCGCATCCTATGTCATCTCCTATAGCAAACAGCACTAGCTTTCAGTTTACGCTCCCTTAATTTGGATTTGCGTTATCTCTGAAATCTGCATACAAGATAGCGTCATTCCGACTAGTCCTCAACAACTTGACTTTATTTCCATTATCAATGACTATGTTTTGCCTGTTCAAGACGGCTTATACCCCACCTTCGGGCGGCGGTATACGTGTTGACGGTATTGCACTCTTAAACTTGACTAGAATACGGTGAGTGACCACATTTATGTGTTTTGGATTTGCGCTTACATCGGATTTGATGGACCGTGTCGTTTGGGCTACACAGGCTATCAGCAATCCCAACCCTTCTATGCGACTTTGTCTACGGATGTGGTCAGTACTAATTACATCAGGTTTCAAGTGATCTGATTACACGAGCAAATGCAACATCTGGGAAGCCCTTTTCAGCTCGATACTCACTGTACTAATAGTTGCAATCGGTTTCTCCAATCCTTTGCTAATCTCACCCTTTACATCAACTAAGCAGTCTTCCGACACTTGTCCGCCCAGGTTGTTGTGGCTCATCGGGCTCCAAAAATCTACATCTTCCCCCGTTACTCACCGTGCAGGTGACTCATTGGGTACGATCACCGGGCTTATCCTGCATATTCTCGCAGTATCCCAAGCATTCACGCAACCTGTGATCGTCTGACAGCTAGGTGTTCGTACCATTGTTTTTGCTCTGTGTTCGAAGACATGCTAATGCTTCTCGCGTCATAAATTGTTTTCCACGTTTTATGCGAGCCTCGCACGAACCAGCTCTCTTTTCTTTCCTTCCTGCCGTAGGTTATCGAGGTCCCTGAAGAGTTGGCTGTTTCTCCGTCTCAGCTGAGCGATTTGGACAGTGATGTGTCCGACGATGGCTACTCCGCTCTCAAGGTAAGCGTAAGAGATCGTAACAGACTCGATTACTCGTGGCGGATGTTTTTGGACTACGTTTTTCCTCAACGAACACCAAGGCATACAGTGTCAATCGGCCACTCACTGACACTGTTTTTATTCCTTTCGGTACATCTTTCGCCCTGCTGCAGCAATAACTATACTTTGATTCTTACTTATGTCTTTCCCGTCGTTCCTTCTACAGTCAGCCACCGATCAAACAAGCCGAGCACCCGTAATTGATGGCTGTTTGGTTAACAGTTCTATCTGGTTGAACGTTCGTTGCACCTGTGGTCAAACTCACACAACGGCAAAGCTCATTCGATGCCCTGCCTGCAAGTACGTTTTTTTTCAAAACTTTCCTGAGAGTCTATAATTTGTGATCACTTCGCTAGAGGTCGACCCGCCACATCCGAAGACGCTTAACACAGCTGAGAAGTTGCAGATCTCGGTGGTGCCTTTTTTCGCTGGTTCATCGGCTCCACCAAATGTACCCAATCGAATGATCAGTGCTATTGTGGACAACCGCTAATCTTTTTACTCACCCATCAACGTGGTGCGACGGTTTGCGAACCTCGTCCATCCATTGAGCTATACTGGTTGGGGCCCTCGGGCTCCTTGAGAGCTACTCGGTTGGTCAATGATTAGAATTCAGACGAACTCAGTCTCCTGATCCTCCACGTTGGGGGTTTGAAATGGGATGGGATCATTACCTCATCCGCTGCCTTGCGGACAAGCTTTTGAGCCAAAGACTGGTTGAGGACCCTAATCGTTCTTATCTCTGGGTCTGGGTACCCAGGAGGTATCTCAGCCAATGTACAACCATGCCTATTTCCTCGAGCTTCAGCTGCATCCTTCATCGCCCGTCGCGCAGCTTATTAACGGTCACCTTATCTGCTGCATACGACAAGGGGGATAAGAGACAACATGCTACTGCTGACGCCTCTGCTCTTTCCTTTCCACCTGTTTCTCTTACTCCCATTTCGACCCCCATTACTAGCCTTCTATACTTCCCAGCTTACTTGACAGCAACCGCAATGCCATTGCAGTTGTACCATATGCAGCTATCTTTCCGCACCACCCACTAGACGCTAATCCATAACGGCCCGTAATTTGGCCACGCTGTCTCGTGTCTTTGGCGGCATTCAACGTTCGCACTCTCAAACAAATAGGTCAGCAGGCTGCGCTCGCACGCACGTTGGACACCCTGGATATTGACTAATGTTATCTGTCCGAAACCAGGATCAGTGGTCCTCACCTGGGTGTTGAATTAACTATGCCCGGCTTGTTCTCTCACTGTTAGTTGCACAAACCCGGAGACGCTGATTCCGCAACTACTGGTCAAGCTGGAGTGGGCATCGTTCTCAGCTCTAAGGCTGCGAAGGACGCCTTTTACCACTACCTGAAGAGACTACTTCACAATACTACCACTTCAGATATCGTTGCTACAGTGAATTTGAATACGCATGTAGGTCGTCTGGGGTCTTCAGAAGCTCAGCTAGTTGGTACTCATGGACTTAACTCCGACCTCACGGATGTCGGTGAGCGTCTGTTACAACCCTGTGCGGAGCACCGGCTGTTTCTCAATAGCACCGTTTTTAGTCGAAGTGCCACTGGGTGTCCACCCATAGCTGGCCAGCGATGTACCCAAATTTATCGCATTGCCTTAACTTACAAGTGGCGTGGTTCCATACTGGATTGTTGCTCGTTCCGGTATACCTGCATCGACTCTGGTCATGATTTGGTACGCTGCTTTTTCCATGAACTTTACCGTGAGGTGTAGCAAGCACCTTCTTCGATTGGCAACTGAGAAGTTATCTCAGCCCTCGGTGGAGAAAACGTACCAAGATGCCCTGTGTACCCAACGTTCACTCTGTCATGCTAATGATACAGCTTCAGTAGAATAGGATCTCGGCCGCCATGCACGACGCGGGAGCTTCTGCTTGCGGCACTACCAGTCGTTACCGCAGCAGTCACTGAATATCCGAGAGGTCGGTGAACCTGGTGGAATCTAGAAGCAAACTGCTGAGTGGCTCTTGGCACAATGTAACATGATGGATTATTAGGCGCCTAAGTGCGGACAAGGAAGCCTGGTGGATCACTAATACTTAAGAAACAGAAGAGGATGGAACAGCAGCAGTTATCGCAAACTCTTCAAAGTGATTCGCACCATTCATGTTAAGAAACCAGGTGCCAGTAAGACAATTAGAGAGAAATCGAAGGTACTGATCCACAATTGTGACCGCCGCATGGCTTGTTTGGGGGACTTTCTTGATGAGTTCATTTAACCGTCTACTCCCGACCTCTTCCCACTGAGGTGGTACAGGCTGAGACATAACCGGTTACTTTAGAGTCTCCTTCGGAGGCAGAGGTCCGAAATACGAACGTATCCCTTAATCGATTTCTTCCATTCCATCGCACCTGCACTATTTAAGGATGGTGGCGAGTTCCTTTGCAAAGCAATGACCCTCCTGTTGGAACTAGTCTGGAAGCCAGAGACCATCCCAGCCAACTGGAGTGCATCAATTATAGTTGCAACATAATGGAAGAGTAGTCGCACCGACTGTGTTAAGCACAAGGGTATTGGCCTAACACCCGTGGTGACGAAATTATTGGCCTCAATTCTCGTTCGTTGCTTCACTGCGGAACGGGAGTCCCTGATCAGGGAAGAGTAGGCTGGTTTCCGCTCAAGACGGAGCTGTGTAGACCATATATTCAATTTACGACTGGTGCTAGAGTAGAGCCACACCTAGTGCAAACGGACAATAGCTGTGTTCCTGGACGTCAGGCGTGCTTTCGGTTCAGTCAATCGAGCATTTCTGTTCGAGACAATTGCGTGGAAATGTATCACCTTGAAATATGTGAACATTTTACGTGCCATGTACTCGAACACTACAGGCCACGTCATGTTCTACGATGACCTGTCGGATAGCTTTTCGACAACAAGTGACGTTCGTCAGGATTGCCTTTTCCCCTTTTTTGTGCAATTTTGTCATGGACTCCATCATGGTGTGTTCCCTTACGCAATCTTCCGATGTACACTTTGTCCTCCTATCTGGTGAAAGGTTAGTTGATCTTGAGTATGCGGACGATATCGTCTTGTTTTTTGACGATGTTGGGACGACACAATTAACCCTGAATAGTCTCCCTAGAGTGGGCTCATTATTTCATTTGCGCTTCGGATCTTCGAAGTGCAAAGTGTTGCAGTACCACCAGCCAATTGATGATCACTTAACCCTTGATAACGAAGAACTTGAGGTGCTTGATCGATTTACTTATCTAAGCAGCTACATCAACAACGATGGGCGCACAGAAATTGAAGTCAGTTTACGCATTGCAATGGCCAGAACTGCCTTCTTGAACCTGCGGCATCTTTGACGACAGAGGGGAATTTCTCTCCGTCCGAAAGGCCGTGAAGGTCGTCCTGCTCTATGGGAATGAGTCTTGGCCCCTTCGGTCTGATGATCTGAGGCGCCTTCAAATCTTTGATCATCGTTGCCTGCGGAGCATTCCTTATATCGGGTGACGCCAGCATGCCCACAACGATGATGTGTGTGGGCGTGTACTAGGCAGTGATAACCAAGCTAGTTCCTTAGAACAACAGATATAGCACTGAATAAGTTGCGTTGGCTTGGGCATGTTGGTGATCGCTTACTTAGGAGGGCCTTGTTTAGTCTGCCAGATATAGAGTGGCGCAAGCTCGAGGTGGACATAAGTTGCTTTTGCAGCGGGAATTGAAGTCACTGACGACCAAACTTGGTGTCGTCGGTCCGTCCCGCCTTCCAGACTGGAGTCCAAGCGACCAACTTTGTGCTTGACTCGAGACTTTACCGGACATGGCTCGCAGTCCGCATCAGTGGCGCGTCGGGTACCGTCTCCTAGTTGGACTGTCTGTTTAAAGTGTATTTGGTGCTGAGTTATCTGCGGGGTAATGGCTGATTATGACTCGGGCCAGTGAAAGCCATAAGGAAGCTGTCTCGCTGATGCCGCCTTATCTTTGCTCGATAGCCAGTTATTTGCGACACTGTTTTTTGACAGATATAAGCACCTTGACCTTGAATGTTTGTTTAGTGCATTAAGGTTTTACTCTAGGTCCCTCTACTCTCCCTGTTATTATTTTCCGTTCCGTATGTCATCATGGTTGTACGACAGCAAAGCATCAGTTCAAGTGGCTGATGTACTGCTGTTGTTGTTTAAGAAACTTCAATAAGTGCCACGATGGCTGCGAAATCGGATCCCTATTCCTCTCCGAACTTGAGTGCAGGACGGAACGTTTTAAGAGATCGTTGTGCCTTCCACTTATGTCACTCTTACTTGCCGAACCACTGAAATCATCCTTGGGGGCGTTGATGGACCCACTCCCAGCACGGGATCCCCGTAATGAACTTAACAGGGGAAGCAGCGCAAGACACCTGGATCCGCTTACTTGCCATCGTTCCCAAGAGATGGACGTGAATGTTATTCAACTTTATAGGAATGAGGTACCTTTTACTTATTAGTTTTCGAATCTTATCCCCTTCCGTAGGAGTCCACAGTACATTTTGCTCGCAGTCAACATCGCAGGTCTCTTGCCTTCGATTAGGTGGGATCAGAGAAACCCAGGCTGGTTTCCGCCCCAGTTGCGAGTGTATTGACCATAGGATTACATTACACCACGTATTGAGACGGCACCATGCATGCAGTTGACTCTCCATAAACATTCTCCTACCATCGAAAGGCGACTGCTTCAGTTATCTTAGGCTGTTTGTGGCGTTTTGTTTGTAGGGCTATTTTCTTATTCTTTACTCTTTGTTGCGCTACGCTTTGTATTGTATGCGGGTCTCCGAGAAACTGCCCCATTTGACGTATGCCTTCCAGGCTCACGCTGCCTTTCAGTTATGGCGTTCGCTTCGGAGTTATTTATATCTGACGAGTGCAAACAAGTGCGAAATTTCTCATGGAGCGAGCGAGCGATCAGCGGCCAACATGTATCTTTCAGAGACGGTCCCCGTGACTGAGGAGTGGTCTGTTGTAACAAAATTGCCCACGCCTTGTTGGTCTAGGGCCTGTACTCCATGTCCCTCGTTCAAGCGTCAGCGCTGCTATCTCCACCAGACGATCGCATACAGGTACGAAACCGATCATCGAGTGCTGCATTGCGAGTGGGCAACAGCTCCTCTTTTGACCGGGACTTTCTGTTGGATGAGCGATTGTCACACGTGTGTATCAGTCGGACATTATGACTCCTGCAAATTCCATATTGGTTGTTTGAAATCCCCGGTGTGGCTGCATTTGATGTGAATGTTAACAAGGTGCCTACCTAGCTAACACCCTCCATCTCGATTGCTGGCTTCAGGAGA